TTGAATTTAAAATTTGTGTTTTTATTGATTTTTCATCTTTCGATGCTGTTCGCTGGTCTTTTTTGGTGTTTATTTAATGCTCTGCAATTGATTTTGTTATAGAGTGCTGTTAATATGAGAAGTGCTGGGATGGAGAGCACTGCAGAATTGCTAGAGAAGCAATTATCAGCAGAGATATCGAAGACGACTCTTGAGGAAGCTATAGCATTAGCTCGTTCTCTCAGCCATCATCTCAACCTTATGGGAATTGCTGAAACCCATCATAGGTACTCCAATTCTTATAAGCCACAGTCTACTTATGTGTCTTTGATATTTTATCTCTAAATCTGCACATCAATTGCTTTGTGGAGTATAAAATTATAATCCTCAGCCTTCATCATAACTACGAAGTTGTGGTTGACTCTCAATCTCTGGGGTCACGTAAGAATATGAAATTATAACTCACATTATAGCTTTGAAGTTTTGGTGTAGTGAGAGGGACCTTAGATATTTTCTTCATACAGAGTTCGCAAAGCAAAGGATGTCGTTCATTTGTCAAAATCATGTGATGACATTTTCAGTAAGTTGGTACAAAGTGGAGTGCCACCAGAGGAGCTTTATAATACTGTTTGCAATCAGGTTTGAAACTTTCCTTCATTGGAGTTGTAAAATATAAATCAATAATTACAAAGTTCTCTTTTGGGTTATGTTAGTTTATTCCCTCTTGCTTTCTCTTCCACGTTGCAGGGGATTGAAATTGTTTTAACCGCACATCCGACGCAAATAAACAGACGTACCCTTCAATACAAGCATATCAGGATAGCTGTAAGTTTTACTGATACTATTATTATGATTGTCATTTCTGTCTGGAAACGATTGAAGAAAGTCAATAACCACTTAATGTTTTGTGTTGTTTATACATTCTATATTCTCTTTCATTTCAATGGTCTTTATTTATAAGTTATGAAAAAAATCCCATAATTATTCTTATTAGAAGTTGTTTTAGTTTCCTAAAAAATAAAAATGAGTTCGGATGCAAAAAATCTCTTGGTTACAACAGGTAAAGCTTTCATAGTTCTAAGAGCATGCAATGGTTTTATAACAAACCAGTCACTGGTCTACTTCAATAGCCTTACAAAAATTTGTCCTCCATCATAGCAATTAATTTGTCTTGTGATTCTTTACTGAGCAGGTCTTATAATTTTTTTTGTAGCTTAACTTTGCAACTATTGTTCTTTCCTTTCTTTGTAACTTGCGTCCTTTATCTCACGTTTTAAGAGGAATCACACCCTTGACCTCTTGCACGACTATATGTCACTACTACGAATATTGGGTACAGAGGTAGTTGAAACTATGCAATTTCATGTAGCATTATTGTTCTTACAAGAGAGAAATCATAAATGCATTTAATCATTGCCAGTATTCCTTAATTGAGATCTATTTGGCTGGTTAGTTTTTTTTATCTCAGTAGGCCAAGCTTAGCCTTGATTGAAATTCTAGAGGAAGTAAGAGATGCTATGATAATTGCTTATTTGAAAACGAGATGAATCGTAGGTCCTTAATAGAGTTGAATCTAGAGAAACAAGGATGCATCAGATGCTAAAAACTTGTTCATGATATATTATTTTCTTTTTGTCATTTCCTTTCCTCCGGAATGTGTTATGAATCAAATCATGTCTTCTTACAGTACTTCCCAATATCATTACTTGTGATGTATTAAATGCTGTTGTTTATGAAATAAAATATTGATGTATTTAAGTTATCTTGCCAGCGTCTTTTGGAGTTCAATGAGAGACCTGACCTTAGCCATGAAGACAGGGAGATGCTGATTGAGGATTTGGTACTCAACTTAGCCCAAAATTCTCTTTTTTTATGACACTTGTAACATTGTTAGAACACTGACAATGGTAAAATTTGCAGAAGAGAGAGGTTACTTCTTTATGGCAGACAGATGAATTGAGGCGTCACAAACCCACACCGGTTGATGAAGCAAGGGCAGGTTCATAATTTTGCTAAAAAATAAATCTATCCCTTCTTCATTGCATATAATTTGCACTCTCTTTATAGGTTTACACATTGTGGAACAAACACTTTGGCAAGCGGTGCCTCATTATTTACGCCGTGTTAGTGCTGCTCTGAAAAAGGTTTTTCCCCCTCTTTTCTTTTAGTATCTTTGTATGTCCGAGCCAATATATCCTCGGGTATCAATTTCTTAACCTAAATTTCTCCTTTTTTGTTAATTTTTGTAGCACACCGGACGTCCACTTCCATTAACTGCCACTCCTATCAAGTTTGGCTCTTGGATGGGCGGCGACAGAGATGGGAATCCAAATGTTACATCAAAAGTAAGTTTCAGCTTCATGTACAAATTGTTTTAATATCAAACTTTGGTTCTTTCTCCATGTACAAATTGTTTTCGATATCAAACTTTTGTCCTTTCTGTTCATGTATCTGGTCATGAGAAGTGATTTATATAATTAGTTGTTTACTGTTTTGAATTTGTATTTACTTTACTCATTACTACAGGATGTTGCTCTTTTGTGCTTCCAAGCATTATGTAAATCAGTTGAATTATATTTTATTTGTGTAAAATTTGAATTTAAAATTAGCTAAAGGGCTAAGATGCATGTATATGGAATCGTTCATATTTTGCTTGAATTTATTGCAGGTCACAAGAGATGTTTCTCTATTATCACGCTGGATGGCAGTTGATCTCTACATTAGAGAAGTTGACAATCTCAGATTTGAACTATCCATGAATAGATGCAGCGATAAGTTGGCAGGCCTGGCTCGAGAAATACTACTTGAAGGTATGTCAAATCTAAGGTAGAAGCTCTGCTAAGTAGCAATGTAGTATAGAGGTACACCTCTTTAAAGTTGAAATCAGCTCGAGTGATGCTATCAGGCTAGATTCAATCAATCCTTGCTCAAATTGTTCTATGACCCTTGGCATCTTTTAGCAAAGCTCTATGAATCTTCCAGCGATTGGTACGCTAATTGTGAATTAAGTACTTAAGAAATCTAAAGAGTATCAGGAGGGATTTGCAAGAATATGAGCCTCGTTAGTCTAAAAGTCTAAAGTCTATACAGATCTAATGATTTTATCTGTTTGACTTTTTTTGCCTTCCATTTACGGAGGCTGTTGCATTATTTCTTCACTCAGGAATATGCCAGTGTTGTAATGGAATTGTGAATCATTGTGCAGAAAGTGAATCTGAGGATCAGCAACGTGAAAGTTGGGATCAACACCCTAACAGAAGCCCTGCAAAGCCTTATGGTCAACAATCTTCAGCACTGCCAGCACAACTTCCTGTAGCTGCTCATCTTCCCTCTTGCAGATGTAGGTTCTTGATCTCTACAAAACAACAATTATTATTTTTCTTTCATTTGGCACCTTTATTGGCATGGAAGTCCTATTTAAAGGATCAAATAGAAAAATAGATACACTTAAAAATATGGGAGGAAAGTAATATATGTTCAATACATATTTTTGAATCGCGTATAATTTCTCAGAACTGAAAAATTGTCTACCCTATATTTGAAGTATTAATAATTGTTCTCTTTTGCTAAGTAATCGTACCTGTTTCAAGCCAAATTCCAGTGTACACATTACCAGTGATGAGTGTTGCAAAAATTGCACACTTAAAAAGGTTGCAATAAACTAATTAATCTTATAACATATTGTGCATTTCTATTTTCTTTTTTTTTTTTCCGAGTAAACTGAGCAAGATGCCATGGGAACTTATTAACTGAAGAAAATGGATTCAAAATATACAAGAAGAGGAATGTTGAGAAGAGGGCAAGATGGTGTGCATTTTTTATTTTAGAGCTGAGCCAGCTAATTTGACTATTCACAAAAGCGTCAAACATCTTTTGCACTTTGACAATTTTATACCAGTTCCGAATTTGTGAACGTGGGAACGTAGGATGGGGGGACACGAGATGGTGGAACCCCATGCTACTCCCATGCTCACCCATGCTTCCCCCATGCTCACACATACTCTCTTGTCCCCTCTTCTTTGCTTATAAATAGGAGAGGTGAGGAAGAGAGAAGTTGCGGGGAAGAAAAGAAAAAAGGTGTGAGAATTTTGAGAGATTTTTGAAGAGGGAAAAATCAGAGAGAGAGGGAGAGCTTGTGAGATATACAAGTGGAAGTTGTTATTCCCCTCATAGTGAAATTCCCCCTTACCCCTCCAGTGGACGTAGGCATGCTTGCCGAACCACGTAAATTACGTGTCTTTACTATGTGTTAGCTATTGCTTGTAGGTTCCCTCGACATTCAGTCCTAGAACCGTATATCTCACTTTGTTGAGATATTTTACTTTTGTTCTTGTTTCCTTTGTGAAACGGGAATACAGAGGTTGACTTGAGATTTTGTGAAAACAAAAGTCAGGGTTTTCTCTCAGGTTATATTACTTCCGCGGCGGAAGGGCGTGACTCTGCGCCCAACAGAATTTTTTATGTGATTCCCTATCTACTAATACCTTGTAAGCAAATTGAACTTATTCAATATTTAAAAATGAAGCTACTTAGCTGAAAATCTCTTTTCAAAACCAATCAATAGGTTGATCTAGTATCTCGACTTGACAAACTTTGAAGATATTCAAAGATGAATGTTGAAAATATTTGCATTGTGATAACAGAGACAGAGATAATGTCATATTGATTTCTCTAAGCGTTGATATTGTTAGGGTACACACCAACAATAACGCCTCGAACGCCTCGAACAGAGACGTAATACACAGAATAAAAACACAAAAAAATCAATCACAGTACTTTACAGATATACGTGGTTTACTCCTTCGGAGCTACTCCACGGTGCAACGACGATGTCAAATTCTTTTATATCCCAAAAGAATAGATCAAAGAGAACACATACACTCCAAGAACTCTCACAATCTCTCTCTGTGTTTTCTCTTACTCTTCTATGAGAGGAGTTATTTCTGGGATGAGTTTTTTCTTAAAAGTTTAGGTCCTATTTATAGTATTTGGAAAATACTATGCACTAATAAAATATTATTAGCGGGACCCGCCACTAATAATATTTTATTAGTGGGACCTACCTTTGTGGGACCCACCTTTTGTTTTATTAGGTCACTTTCGGTCACCGAAAGAGGGGGATTAAAAAGGGTCGGCTGATAATCTCCCACTTGAAGATTTGATTGAGTATCAATCTTATCTTCACACCAATCTTGGTAGTATCATCCTGATATCTTGTATCTTTGACGTCTTACACGGCCCTCAACGTTATCAACGGAGGCTATATGAGGCTGCACACGACCTCACCTTCTCGAGTGGAACTGGCTTGGTCAGCATATCGACTGGATTGTACCTCGTATCAATCTTCACAAGCTTGAACTTATTCCTGCTTTGCCATCTCTGTATGGTATGGTGTTTCACGTTAACATGCTTGATCCGAGCATGGAATGCGTCATTCTCTGACAAGTGAATTACACTCTGACTGTCACAGTGGATGAAGTATTTCTCAAAGATTACTCCAAGCTGGAGAAGAAAAACCTTCAACCATAGGAACTCATTTGCTGCCTCTGCTGCAGACACGTACTCGGCTTTGGTTGTCGACAAAGCCACAATATCCTGTAACTTGGATCTTCAACTTATCGCTCCTCCACCAAGATGAAGATGTAGCCGCTTGTGTTCCTTCTTGAGTTTATATCCCCTACGTAGTCTGCATCACAAAAGACTTCTAGCTGTAAATCTGTCCTGCCATACTGAAGAGCATCTCAAGTAGCGTAGAAGCCACTTGACCGCACCCAGTGTTGTTTCCCCGGATTTCTCATGAAGCGGCTCACAACTCCCACTCATTGTGCAATATCTGGCCTTATGCACACCATCGTATACATCAAGCTTTCGACGACAGATGCGTATTGTATGTTGGTCATGAACTCATGCTCTTCAGCAGTCTCTGGTGCTTGGGTCTTCGATAGCTTGAAATGGCTTGCAAATGGCGAGCTCACTGGTTTAGCTTTCTCCATACCGAACTTTTCAAGAATCTTCTCAATGTAGGCTTTCTGAGACGACCTTAGCCTCTGTGCTGATCTGTCTTTAATGATCCTTATCTCCAGAATCTGATTTGCTGAACCCAAATCCTTCATCTCGAAACACTCGGAGAGACGCCCCTTGAGTTCTTCAATGCGGGCTAAGTCGGGCCCTACAATCAACATGACATTAACATAAATCAAGAGTATCACATAGAATTCGTCATATCTCTTGATGAAGCAGCAGTGATCTGTGTCACATTTGAGAAAACCGTTCTCCTTCATAAAGTTCTTAAACTTCATGTACCACTATCGCGGAGCTTGTTTCAGGTCATACAAGCTCTTGCGCAAGCGACACACGAGGTCCTCCCTGCCTCGTTCCTCGAAGCCCACCGGTTGATGCATATAGATCTCTTTCTCCAAATCTCCATGAAAGAATGTTGTCTTCACATCCATCTGCTCTAGATGGAGATCTCGAACTGCTATAATGTTTAGCACAGTCCGGATCGTGGTTAACTTGGCGATGGGAGCGAAAACATTAAAATAGTCTATCCTTGCTTTCTGCTCATAGCCCTTCACTACAAGCCTCGCCTTGTAGCATCTCCGTCCATCAGCTTCATCATTGACCCGATAAATCCACCGATTATGAAGAGTCTTTCTCCCTCTTGGAAGCTTTACGAGCTCCTAAGTCTCATTCTTCATCAAGGACTTCTTTTCTTCCTCCATGGTAGACTCCCACTCGTCCCGAGTTTTGCCGGTCTGCTGTACCTCCTCATAGCTTTCTGGCTCACCATTGTCAGTCAGGAGAAGATAATTCATGGTGGAAAGATACCTCTCTGGCACCCTTGGATTTCTTAGAGCTTTGTGAATTGCGATCAACAACTTTGCTGGATCCTGCTGCTGTACATCCGTGGTCTCTGTCTTTTATGCTGATAGGTATTTCACCGCCGTCCTCACTGTCAGTAATATCTGGGAAAAGAGAGGGAGATAGCTGATTCCCACTCACCTCTTTGATCTTGTACACCGCATTCTCATGGAACACGACATCACTACTGCGCACCACCTTACGCGCATCGTGATCCCAAAAACGGTACTCATACTCATCTCCTCTATAGCCGATGAAAGAGAGCTTCTTTGACTTTGGATCAAGTTTTTGACCGATCTGCAGGATTGGTCATGACATAGACGTCACAACCAAATACTCGTAAGTGCTCTAGTTTCAGCTTCTTTCTGGTCCAAGCCTCTTTAGGTATCCCATAACTGAGAGCCGCGGATGGTCCGCGGTTGATCAAATATGCAACAGTATTGACAGCTTCGGCCCAAAAACTCTTAAGCAATCCAGAGTGGATCCTCATACTTCTGGCGTGCTTCAAGATAGTGCGATTCATACGTTCCGTCACTTCGTTGTGCTGAGGTGTGCCTGGGACGGTCTTCAGTCTCCTAATCCCATGGGACGAGCAGAAGTTCTCGAACTCCTGACTGCAATACTCGCCTCCATTATCAGACTTTAGGCACTTTAGTTTATTGCATGTTTCGTTCTCCACACAGGCAAGCCACTTCTTGAAAATGATGAAAACATCTGACTTGTGCTTTAAGAAGAACACCCATAATTTTCTAGTAGCATCATCAATAAAAGTGACAAAGTAAAGATAATTTCTAACAGATGGGACTTGCATAGGTCCTCATACGTCGGTTTGTACCAACTCCAATTTCTGCAGTTTTAGAGCCAGTCCGGTCTTGTTGAAGCTCACCTTCTTTTGTTTGCCTAGGATGCAGTCCTCACAGAAAGTCAGATCAATCTTGTTCAGATCCGGAAGCCTCTCTCCCGCGATCATAATCTGCATCCCCTTTTCGTTCATGTGGCTAAGTCGTCGATGCCAAGTCATGCAGTCGACGGATGATGATGATGATGCTTGTCCTGCAGCAAGCAATTGGTCGATCTTCCCGTTAGCGATGTAGAAAAACCCCTCGCGTTTGAAAGTACCCAATGCCACTAGGAAGTGCAATGATACTAATTGAAAGCACCCTAGAGGGGGGGAGGGGGGAATAGGGTTTATGCTAATCTAATCTGATTTATGCCAATTTAAAACTTATTAATAAATATATCCTAACAAATATATACTAATTGAAAGCACCCTAGAGGGGGGAGGGGGGAGTAGGGTACATGCCGAACGTCGTTCAGCGTCAAGGTTGTCCCGCTTTCCATCTTGAGGGTACAATTTTTCTTTCCGAAAACCTTGTAAGGTTGGTCGTCGCCAAGATAGACTGTGCCCAAGTCCTTCACGAACGATGAAAGCAGCTTTTGTTGTGAGGTTGCATGGAAAGATGCGTCAGAGTTGATGACCCACGCATCGTTTTTGTCTTCTAGGGATAGGAGAAACGCATCTGAATCCGTCTCGTGCATAAGATTGGCTACACCGTCAGCCCGATCATCCCTTGCTAATGCTGGAACATAAACTCTACAGTCCCGTGCAAAGTGACCATTCTTTCCGTATCGGAAGCACTTACCTTCACCGTAACCATTCGGGTTCGGCCCTTTAGACTTCCATCTAGATTTCGATTGGTCTCGTCATCCCCTACCCTTCTTATGCGCACGCCCTCATGCCTCGACATCCAGAGCACTCCCACTGTTAGAGGCCTCAGCTCTTGAGATTTTACGGTGAGATTTTTCATCCAGAATTGCCGTAATCACTGTGTCGAGCTTCATCTTGTCATTGCCATTGGCGTTGCTTACCACCATCATCATATTCTCCCACGAATCTGGTAGACAAGAAAGTAGCAAAAGAGCTTGGATCTCATTCTCAAACTTGAGATTTACTACAGCAAGCTGTTGCACCACAGCCTGAAATTTGTTCAAGAAGTCCGCCACACGAGCTCCTTGCTGCATCTTTAGATTGAATAGCTTCTTTATCAGGTATATCTTATTTGAAGAAAACGACTTCTCATACAGCGCCTCCAAGGCCTTCATCAACTCCTTGGTGGTGGTCGCGAGACGTTGTAAGTCACATGTTGGTGAAGGTTGAGTCTGATGGTGGCAAGTGCTTTACGATCGAGCACCTTCCACTCATCGTCGTTCATTTTCTCAGGTTTCCCCGTCTCTCCTTGGAGGGGTTGGAAGAGATCCTTCTGGTACAAATAGTCTTCAATTTGCATCCTCCAATACCTGAAATTTTGGCCGCTGAATTTCTCAATTCGAAGCATGTTGTCTTCAACTGTAAATCTCATGGCGAAAGATTACGTCTTTCCCGAACCGTATTTGTGAATAGTAATAATACTTGTAAATAGTATCGTATTCGTGAACAGTGTCCGGTGCCTTAAAAGAGTAAATAATAATTTAAATTATTTGCTGATGTGGAGGATCCACTTTTAGTGGCAGTCACAGAGCATACGATAAGCAGATATATATACTCTAAGTCAGGCTCTGATACCAGTTGTTAGGGTACACACCAATAATAACGCCTCGAACGGAGACGTAATACACAGAATAAATGCACAAAAAATCAATCACAGTACTCACAGATATACGTGGTTCACTCATTCGGAGCTACTTCATGGTGTAACGCCGCCGCCAAATTCTTTTATATCCCAAAAGAATAGATCAAAGAGAACACCCTCTCTTGATCAGATACACTCCAAGAACTCATAATCTCTCTCTGTGTTTTCTCTCTTACTCTTCTATGAGAGGAGTTGTTTCTGGGATGAGTTGTTTCTTAAGAGTTTAGGTTCTATTTATAGTGTTTGGAAAACACTATGTACTAATAAAATATTGTTAGCGGGACCCGCCACTAATATTATTTTATTAGTAGGATCCGCTTTTGTGGGGCCCACCTTTTGTTTTATTAGACCACTTTCGGCCACTGAGAGAAGGGGGTCAAAAAGGGTGGGCTGACATATACCATATTGGTTCTTTATTCAGCCTCCTTTAATTTGATCCTTGAAATATAGCTTAATCACATTGTCTATTTTCATCATTTATTTGATATTTTCATGCTTGATTAAAATCTTTCATGCGATGAGTATACTAACACATTTATTGTATATTACCCTTAATTTGTGATGTAGCTGGTGACCCTCACTATCCAATACTAGATTTCCCTGGTAATCGTCAGGTAAAATGAATATTTGATTTGGCAACAATATTAAGCCTAAAATTCTTGTATTGTATCCCAACCTGTATAGAAGTATTTTTTCTGTCTTATGGCCTCTAAAATATCTTTAATTTTCTGTTTTGTTCTTTGCATATATTGTGGTAGCAGAGTGGTCTAGGTTCTGCTCCAGAATCCCCAACAAAATTAGACAACGGTGGAGCTGGTTCTCAATCTCAAGATGGCAACTCACAGCCTTGCCTTCAGAACCAATTATCTAAAAAAAATTCTTCCGTCGCTGGTCATCTTATTACCCAGAGAAAGCTACTAGAATCTCAAACCGGCAGAAGTAGTTTCCGGAAGCTTCTGGAACCTAGCCTGCATCAGCGTCCAGGGATTGCTTCCTATAGAGTTGTTCTTGGACATGTAAAAGACAAGGTTAGTTATTTGTTTTATTTTAGTACTTATTAAGTATTTTGATTATTTTTTATAGAACAATGTAGGCACGATTTCTCCTGAAAATTTAGACTTAGTACATTGCAAGCGTTACAAAATACCAAGTTGATGGGCTTATTCTGTCATTCGGCCCGTGTCTCTTTAAGCTTCCTTTCAATTTGAATATTGGTGGCCTATATGATTATTTCCTACTGTCAACTGTTCTGAACTTATGTTGATGTTGATGATATCAGCTTATGAAGACACGAAGGAGGTTGGAGCTTCTCCTTGAGGATCTTCCTTGTGAACATGACCCTATAAATGACTATGAAACAGCTGATCAACTTCTAGAACCACTTCTCCTATGCTATGACTCATTGGTATTGGACTCTATTCTCTAGATTGTTTGCCGTTACATGCTAAAGTTTGCATTCTAAGCCCCTTTATATCTGTTTGAAATGAAAATCCAACATAGAGTCATGACCTTACCCTTTTTGCTAGTTCTGCTGATAAAATTTCTGTAGCTATCATGTGGGTCCGGCATACTTGCTGATGGGCGTTTGGCCGATCTTATAAGAAGGGTTGCTACATTTGGGATGGTATTGATGAAGCTCGATTTGCGTCAGGTGTGTCTATTCTTTTCATAATCAAATATGTTGAACAAAATGAAGAGTTAGTTGATTTTTTCTTTTTCCTTTCTGTAGGAATCTGGCCGACATGCTGAAACACTTGATGCAATTACTAAATACTTGGATATGGGTGTGTATAGTGAGTGGGATGAAGAAAAGAAACTGGAATTTCTTACCAGAGAGCTGAAAGGAAAGAGGCCTCTTGTCCCGCCAACTATAGAGGTGGGTCATTTATTTGTTTATTTTCTTCAGGCAACTCAATGCTTGTTGAGGAGTTCTTTTTTGTAGTCATTTAATATTGGCTGATGGGCATTAAACCCAAAATGCATGATTTGGGATCATATATGCTAGACATGGGAATCAAGAAAATGTATTAATATGGCGATGTAAGTTTGGGATTTGGAGAGTCAAGAGAGAGATCCTGAAGCTCATTTTGATATTGGAAATATCAAGCAGTCAATTGTTAAGTTTTGATGGGGATATTGCTTGTTTCAGGATGCTATCGTCAGCTTGGCTAAACCTTACATCCGAGTTCTACCATTTATTCATGTGTCTTGATTGAACCATTCGTCCTGTTAGACATGTCAATTTGCTTAGCCAAACTTGTTAACTTAGCTTAAAAAAATTGTTTGTTATAATTACAAATAAACAATTAAGTCCAAACACATGCATAATACATCTCAGGCGTAAGATTAGGTTGGGATTTTATTAAAGAAAATTCAGTCAAGCAGGATCAATTACGTTATACCATCTTTTCTTTTAATTAATCTTAATGGACGTTGGTT